GGACAAAAGCCTATTCTTTCAGCGAGGAAACGGATTCTTTGTTATCTCTTCTGTTCCAACTCCTCTTCTTTAAGAAAAGGCAACAAAAGAAGGCACCGCGGTGGCTCCGCGCCTGTCCCTGCGCTGATCAGCACTGCGAGCCTTCCCGGGCGATGCTAAGCTGCTGTTAGCTGGATAGGTGGGAATCCATACTGACAGGATGATGAGGTCAGACCTTAAACAAGTAAATCAGCTTAGCACAGGAAAGCAGCGCCCATAACCCTCGCCAGCTGCCGGGTTTACACCCTCGCAGCGCGGTGGCGCGGCTGCCGCTGTAAAACCAAGCCTCACATGATCCTCGGGGAGCCTTAACATGCAGGCAGGCACCCGCAAATAAAGTGACAGGACTTTCTTTGCATCTATCTGGCGGCGTTTTCCACCCAGCCTGCCCGCCAGCAATCAGGAGATTTTGGGAGGATGCTTTCGGGAGGGTTTGTGGCGGCGGCTCGCAGAGAAACTCGCGTTTCTTTCGGGGTTCGCGTTGGTTTGTCCTGAGGTGACAAATTTCTGTAAATGGCATCGGTGGGGTGGCACTCACCTAAAGGAGAGGCAGCGGTGAGTGCACGCTGCAGGCTGGCTGCATTTCCCAACCTAAGRATGGATTTCTCGGCAGCATCGCAGGGCTAAGAGAAGGGAGGGAGGGAGCGCAGGAAAATCGGAGATGTGCTCCCTCAATGACTGTATCTGTGGAAAACACAGTTTCCTGCCTGAGTGCCTGTGTAAACACCCTGCTCTTTATTTCTCACCGACAGCCAAACGCTGTGTGGGGCTCTTTTGAAAACACCTTTCTCTTCTTTCTTTTGATAGTGTGCACTGGAACGTGTGTTCAGCAAATTTARTAGAGGAGATGTATTCATTCCCATCCCTTGGTAACCAGGCAGGGCTGTGAGAACTGTGCCCTGTGTGGTTTGAAATAATGTACACAGAATGTTTTCGTGTGCAAATTGAAAATAAATGAATGGATGGAATTTTTTTGTGRTGTTATATTCTCCCAGGTTGGCTASTSACAGTMTATCCAGCTGTAAGCAGTGTGCAGAAACAGCAAAAGTGGTAACAGGGTCAGTAGAAAAACCTTTAACACAAAGTCAGTAAAACAGAATTCAGAACTGAAGGAGGGTACCCCTCTCCAACACATCTTCTCACCTCTCCTCTCGGACCTTCTGACACTAATTTCCTTTTTCTGTGTCTTTGCCGTGAATTTTTCTTCTTTTTTGTAACCTAAATTCTATGATGGGACGTTGAACCTTTAAATTAAAACTGCTTTTTATTCTTTTTGGACTGCATATAATACAAGCAAGGAAATGTGAAGTAGAGTTTTAAAAAAGGGAAAAAAAAAAAAGGAAAAAAGCAAAATGAGAGGRTAGGACTAAACAGTCATCAGGTTTATGCTGGGCTCTCCATCTCCTGTCCTGTTCGTGGTGTTCAAGCAAAGGATATTCAGCATCATGGACTGGATRCACGTGAGAGAAATTACAGGATGAGTGAAGAACAGTAAAATAACTGAAAGATATTTTACTATCCTGACACATAGAGGGAAAGAGTTTGTACAAAGGACAAGCTGTGTGGAAGGCTTGGCCACAAAAGGCAGAAAGGCAGAAGCTGGGGGAAGATTTGACAGACGTAGCCAATGCATGTTTGTTGCTATAGAGAACACTGAGGCTGAGCTGCTGCAGTTAAATGTACGCGAACAAAACTCCTTTTATGTGTTTTAGGAATAGAGAGAAAGAGGAAAACTTATCCAACTTCTAATAAATCACATTAGGAAGGTGCATAAAGGCCTGTTGGTCCATCTAATAGGGGGTTCAGTTCTTGTTGAGAATATGAGCTGATAGAGAAGCTGCTGCCAAACTTCAGGGATATTAAAGGATTTATGGGCAGTGAGTGGATCAGTGAAAAGGCTGGGCATTGAGCAAGAGAGATTACTGCATATCCCAAAGTCAGGGTCAGATATTTTCACACCTTACTGATGACCTTTTACATCAATCTAAAACTTTCTGGAGACATAAGTGATTCAGGTATTTTTTTCTGGCATAACCTGTATATAATATTCAATATAACATTTCCTGACTTTTCAGTTTCAGCCTGCACACCTATGGATGTTTTTCTTTTCAATTTCATACAAGTAATGAGACTTAGTGGTATCTCCATTTATTCCTCAGGACTGCCTACATGGCAGTCTGACATCTCTTTTAGGGAGGGAGTCTCTCTGTACCAAGTTAATGAAATAATTTATGATGAGATTTTGTCAAGGTGGACAGGGAACACGGTTTCTCTCCTGTTTAATCAGGCCATTGAGCTATCTCAGCAGCTYTGTCAGCTCCTCTTAGCAACGGCCCCGATACCTTTAATCCATATTTTTTCACCGTGGCACAAAGCTTCTGTCACTTTTCATCCCTTAAATCCCTTTTGCAGAAGTCATCCTTTACTCTGAGATACCATCAGAAGCCTGTTCCTTGCATTTTCCTGGGGAATGTACAAGCACTCCTGCTCGTGCATTRCCCCCATTCCTGCTAACTCAGTGCATGTTTTAGCAGATGCAGTGAATTTAGCTAAAATTAAAATAGCCAAACTGGACATTTGCTGAAGAGRCCATCTTGCTCAGAAAGTCAGCTTGAGTCAGCACAGAATGTGTTTCAGGTAGGGCGAAATAAGGAGATTATTTTTTCACGGAGTTTGTTATTGTTCTGGCTAAAATTTCAGTGTGCTGTACTAGGTCAACATGAGTGATCTGATAACCCCAACTGGAATTATTAGAAATGGGTATGAGGTGTATGTGTATAACTCTGGAGATGCTTTATGCCATGTACTTGCTGTTCATCATTTACATCCATCTCCTGGTGAGAAAATTGGCTCCCTTTGACCTGAATGCAGTGTGGGTTTACTTCTGGGCCATTTCCTTCCAAATCTCTCACATAGAGAGATTTTAGTTGTATCTGTGATCAGGTTCTAAATGGGCAAAGACAGAAGGTTTTTCAGTTATTACTATTCCAAATTGAAGACCTTTGGTCTCATTTAGATAAATAACCACCTAACAGCACCATTTTTTGGAAATCTCCAGAGAACAGGATTTTCTAGGGCTACAGCAAGTCCAGCCAGGGCCACCAAGGGGATCAGGCAGCTGGAACATCTGATGGATGAGGGGAGGCAGCTACAACAGGAGTTGTTCAACCTCATGGAGAAAAGGCTCAGGGGCATTTCCTGGCTGCCCCAGGTTCCTGATGGGAGAGGAGAGGGATGACAGAATCAGAATGCTCCAGAGGAACCTCTGACAGCACTGAGGAACACAGGAACGGGGTGGTCTGTGGGGAAATCTGAGCAGAGGTGAGAAACTTCTTACCATGAGGGTGATCAGGGAGGTGGGAGGAGGTACCAAGAGAGGCTGGGATCTCCTTCCTCAGGAAAAGTGGGACCCACTGAGGGTGGGGAGGCCTGGCACAGGTACCCAGAGAAGCTGTGACTGCCCCTGGATCCCTGGCAGTGCCCAAGGCCAGGCTTGGTGGGATTTTGGATCCTCCTGGGACAGTGGGAGGTGTCCCTGCCATGGCAGGGGTGGGATGGGATGAGGTTTAGGGTCCCCTAAAGCATCACTGCCTGCAGGGCAGGAAGGTGACCACCTGCTGATCCCAGAGGAGGCTCAACAGGATTTTGAGAAAAAAGGACTCTTTATCCACAAGAAACCCTCCTCCAAGTCAATGGATACATGATTTTGAGAAAGATCTTTGCTCCCATTAGGAAAACACCATTTGTTCCCATTAGGGCACCTCTTGTGGAGGCTGAAGCCATGAGTATTGCAAGGACCAAGTTCCTAGCGAGAGCCTGATAAAGCAATTCTTTGCTGGATATGAGACAGGCCAAAAAAAAGGAGTTTTAATTAAAGTCAAGGATAGCTTTGGAGCAGTTCTTCAATACCAGGTAAATGACTCAGTTAGGAAAAACCTGCATGTGCTGAATGAGACAATCARAAAGCAAGATGAGCACAGAAAGTGAAGGATTTTTTTCTCACATTTTTCAAGACATTTGGTGTCTTGAAACATCTTGAAAATGTCATGATATTACATTTTTTTAGAAAGTCAAGTTAATTACTGGTAAGAATATTGTTTATAGTGTTTGCATTGGGGGAAAATAGGATTTGCATGTGGACAGATTTTTGATAACCAAATCTTTTTAATTGTGTAAAAAACTGCTCACTCTYTACCCAAACACTCTTCCATGGGGTCAACAAAATTTGTGTGCTCAGCCCCTGCACTCCCACTGCACTGAGAAAAGCAGTTCAATACTTTTTATGACCCTGTTTTGAAAATAATGCTAAAAAGAACTCCCATTAGCCCATCCTTTGTGAAAGAGATATCCAGGAAACATCTGCAGAGYCCAGCAGCAGCAGCGTTAAAGGAGTCAAAGTTAAGTGGAAAGGAACAGGACAAATCCCAAAACAAACAGCTCTATTTAAAACCCCCAGGAAAGCTCCACTTTCTTTTCAAAGAAAACTTTGAATTCCACAAACAGAAATCAGTTTAGGACAATCAGTGACTTCCTCCTGAAGGAGTCGGGAGAGATGATCCACTTAGGGGAAGGTGTTGACACATTTAAACGCAATTGCTTCCTCAAATAACTGGGAACTATCCTACAGATTGCAACCCACCTCCAAAGCTCTRTGCCAAAATTGGCAAAAAAAGATCACAGCATTCCTACCGAGATCCAAGGAAAAAGAATGTGAGACATGAGCTTGGTATAAGTAAGTCTGATTGAGATCTTGATAAATAGGAGCAACCCTCAAAATGAAACCAGAATGTTGGAGTGAAATAAGAAATAGCAAATGTCCACTTGGAATTCCCATGGACAAGGGAGAGGCCACTAAGGATCAYGGTTCTGGTAGAAAATACTTGAATWTCCTGCACACTCAGTGATAATAATAACCCCTATTTAACCCCCAATTATT